TTCAATTTATAGTGGGACATCCCCTATAAAATACATTATGGGGGCTGACCCCCCCCCCCCCCCCCCCCCCCCCCCCCCCCTTCACGTTGGCACATGTGCGTGATTGTGCAGAGCAGTTAGATCGGGTATGGCCAGGTTGGGCACATATTGGGCATCTGGCTGTGGAACGGCAATGTTTGGCTGGGTGTCCTAGACGCCAACAATTTTGGCACTGACGTGGATGAGGTTGGTATGGACGAACAGGGAGGGATTCTCCTCCTATGTAGATGTTAAAGGGAAGGGGAATTAAAAGGGAATACCGTGCCCATGGCTCCCTCAGGTTGTTCAGGACTGGCACAAAGTCAGCCTTTCATCCTTTCAGCATGGCTCTCACACCTTAGGAGGTGGATAGCAGAAGGGTTTGGTGAAGGGACAGAAACAAAAGTGGGAAGGGAAAAAAAAAACTATGCATAATTAGTTGAGTCGAGGGCTGAGTCCCAAGGTTGGGGAGTTCCCCATCACTGGGTCCCAGTCTCCACCTCCTAAGCCCCCCACGACAACAACGGGCAAGGGATTGGGGGGGGCCCGGGCTATGAGGGGAGTCCGGCCTCTGTCGACTAATGTCGACTCGCTAACAGTGTGTCAGCTGGTGCTGACTCGGCCTGGTCCTTACCCGCCGTGGTGCCCAGCCACAGCAGTAACCCCCAGGCGACAATTGCAACTTCTCACGCCTAGGTGGGGCGCGAACCGCCGACCCCTCAGATGAGAAGCCGACACGTTACCCTTGTACTACCTGGAGGCTGAGAGAAAGAGGGAAAAACACGTGAATATTGTGCTTATGTTCTTTTTATTTTAGTTTATGAGATAATTGTGTGGTACGTAAGTATTTTGTTTTTGTACCAATAAAATAAGTAAGATGAAATGTAAATTGAAACTCAAATGTAATTAATTCTCTTGTATTTTAATTATGTAACTGACATTACCATGACATATTTAAAAACATCCAAGGCATTATGGACAGAACAAGCAGGTAAAGGAAAATTTTATTTCAATTTCTCATAAATTTCATACTTGTAGGTGATATCTCCTTCTTGTTGTATTTCATTAGGAACTAAGGGATCTCTGTACAAAAGAAAGAAAACAAATTTTAGAATAAGATATTGCTATGCAAGGTAAACACCCAAATATCAACTGTAACATTATAAATGCAAACACTTAACATCAGGCAACCACACCCCTACATGCTTTAGATAACAATTCTAATCTGGAGAGGAGTATCTAAGCCTGTGCACTGCAACCCAAAATTGGGTCACCCAGATATTAGGCTGACAGATTCCTTTTCCTATTCACCAAATATTAACCCATTGGCGCTGGGGAAAATGCTCATTTTTTATATTTTGTGAAATGTTTCTGTACACAGATGGCTCTGCTAGTGCTTAGCCACAAAGAAGTTAATTAGTAGATCTTGAGACCTTACCTGATTTCACCTTTCCTTGAATTGGCAGGAAAAACATATTTTTTACTAGCACTATATATATATCAATTGTGTTTTTTTTATTATAAACATTATAATTACTATAATATAAACATTTGTAACACCAAAGTAAGATAATGTAAAATATTTTTGTAAATCAATGAAAAGGTGAACAAACGAGACGGGCAGTACTCATAACTGGTTCACTGGTGATTTAGTACAAGTGTAGCCATCTATGTGCAAAAACAATTAAACAAGTAAACTCAAAGTGGGCATGGCATGTACATACATGTAATGGCCATCGGCAATGGGTTAATCACTACCTGTACTTGGGTCATAGTTAACTTCCCTTCTAATTTTATTCTGCTGCAAATGGTTGGCATCATTATTTCCACAGATCTATAGGGTCATCACCCTTACAGCAAAATGAAGGGAAAGTTATTAAGTTTCTCTCACTCTTATGGGAATATGGCTTATCTTAACTGAGAGACAATTTTGCACAATTACTCAAATAAGTCAAGATCCCTTGCTCCTGAGAATCAGTACAAAAAGTAATGCATAAACTGAAGGATATTATCTAAGCGCCTGATATATCTAAGGGTGATAAAAGTTGATACTCACGTCACAATCTGGAACTTCTTGGGGTCAAATGATGGCAGGAAGGTGTCACACTCAAAATCCTTTAATATCCTCGTAAGATATATACGGTGGAGATGATCTGATTCTAATGCCATCTGCAAGAAAAAAAGGCTTATACAAACCTAGAGTGATTACAGATTTTTTTTATCCACAATCCTTTTAAAGACAAAATAATGTTCTTCTCATTTTACAAGTAGAATATACTGAAATACTGTTTGCTAAAAAAAAAAAAAAGAAAAAAATCAAACTCAGTACAATCTTCCACACTGTTTTCCTGGGAAGAACATGACACTCATCTTTCACATGAACTGTTCTCACCTCATATATAGAAGATCCCCCAATGGCCCACACACTCTCCACTTCTGCACGACTGTGAACCTTGTCAATGGCTTCCTTAAAACTAGAACACACTGTTGATCCATTGAATTCTGGACCAGGGTTCCTTTGTGTTCAAGGAAAACAATTGAAGTTTGTATCACATAAAGAACAGATTATATATAAATTTTAATCATAGCATATTATCTAAAATCAGCCCTAAAGTCCTATTGGCCACAGAGTATATAGCCCTATGGCATCATTTTCTATGAGATGTCAACTAGTGTCAAGGTATTTTTTCACAATTTTATTTGCTGTGAACAGTTAATATCTCAACTTACTCCTATACTCCTCATAGCCTTTTCTCTCTCTGATGCAATCACATAACCAGCATTTCTCCTTTTTTATTGTGGATGGAACTAAGTGAGTGTGAGAATAATTCTGGTACTGTCTAGTTCCATCCAACCATACACCACAATCCTTCCCTTGTCCCACAATCAGCTATTACCATTCCACATATAGAAATAGTATTCTCCCTTAGTTTTCCTGTCTTTATACAAAAATCATGCAATAAATATATTCTAATGACAAAGATCCATAAAAAACAGTCACCATTTGCAAAAATGTAAAATTCAAAAAAATATATTAGTAAACCAAACCAGTATTGCTAAAAGAAAAATATAAATCACATCACACACAAACAATTCTAATTGACCTTTTTATAAGTGCCAAAAAAATATATCTTGTTAAAACGGCAGAAAAAAAACACTCCTGAATTTCACTTCTAGGTTAGACCTGTGAATGAAGTCCACATAGATTTTGAAACTGTTGTCTCATTTTCTTTTAAACTTGTTTTGTATACATATTTTTTCTGCCAGAATTTGATAGGATTCAGAAGTCACATAATCTCACCTATACAAAACAAAACAACAAAAAATAATTAAAAAAGGTAAAAGGGGGAGAAAAAAACACACAATTGCACTCCAAGTAATGCTAACAGCAACTGCAATAAACATCCTTCTCCTCCTGGTGTTCTCCCTGAACATGCATAATCACAGGACACACAATGTTTTTGGGGTGAAGCTTAAGCCTGTTATAGCTGCCCAAATGATTAAAAAAAAAATAATAATAAAAAAATAAATGCACTACAGATTTGTATTCTACATGCTTTTGGGCAGCTCTCGTGTTGAATATATACCATTTCTGAATTTACCTTATGTGGTTCCATGGTAGTCTTGTTCAAAAATGAGAGATTTTTATACAAACTGGAAATGCATAAGAAGCAATGAGTAGACTATAATTTCAAATCACTGATAATTAAAGCCCTTCTCATTCATTCAGTTACAGTGAATAAACTCATGATTACAATGAATAAATTCATGATTCTCCTTTTGAAATTTCTTTATCTTTCCACTGAAAATCTTTAAATTAAGCCCATTATCAACCTGGCAAACATAGTCATCATAAAACAGTACTCACTTTGCTCTTGATGAAATCACCAGATTCAGGCGACCAGGTAAGGGCCTAAACTTGTCTGGGATGGATTCCCATGTCTTGCGGCCCATCATGACGGCATTCTGCTTCTCTGATGACTTTGTCATCTTCGTCATGCGGCTAAAGTACTTCATTTCCTCCCTGGATAGATTTTGGTTTGATGAATCAGTAGAAATTATAGAACTACCTTTTTTTAATGCTTCTAGGCAAATTACTAATTAAAAGTAACATTTCAAAAACATCTCAAGAATTGTAATATTAAATGCATTAGGGATTTAAGAAGAAAAAAAAGCACTGCGATTTATCACTAACTCATAAAACTAAACTAAACTAAATCAAACTAAAGAAAAAAAAAAAAAAAAAAAAATCTGGCATTACCTTGTATAACTGTTGAACTTCACAACATAGCAATTATCTTTTACATTTCCAATTCAATAACTGTATTCCCACAACAAACTTTTAACTATCAACAGCAGTTTGAAAATCTTGTTAAAGGATGAAGTTAGGGTAAATGGTTAAAATTTCTTCTATAAATGCTTGATTATTGATTTTACCTGCAAATAGGGTCAAACACATGGGAGGAAAGTCTAGCAGTTTAACTTTTTCATCAGAGAATAAAAAAAAGAATAAATAAATAATAAAAAAAACTTTGCCGATCATGTCACTTAGCAAATTAATTGTTATACTACTCTATACTACTATAGTGTGAGGATTACTAAAGTATATTATGATCATCATCATTATTTTCCCAAGTAGAAACCCATTCAGTGGGTAAAACTTATTCTGAATTTCTGTATGTACATGTTTCCAGTCTATAGTGAGGCAATATGCAGAGAAAGTTAAGCTCTAAGAATGCTGTATGTACATCAGTATATGAAGATCATACGGTTACAGACTTTCATTTTGATAAGCACTTTGGTCCTATCATGGTTTTTGTTTACTTTTGCAGTGACCATGACAATTATGAGAACCTTTCATCTCAGAAGCCTTGCTTTATTCTCAAACTGATTTCACAGTTGTAAAAATGACTGTTGAGTAAATTGTGGTATAAACATTTTTTATCCTCCTGACATATATACTTAGATTTAAACTTGTTTCATTTTATAACAAACCTCTCCTTACCTTTCATTTTTTGCAAAGGTATATTCACAAGTGAGTTTTTGTATTACAAACGTAATTGTAGAATTATTCAGAGAAGTATTTTCATATTATTCAGCAAATTTATTATGAAATGTTATCACCTTGTAGGTTGGACAGTAAATGACATCTGTCTACAGCACTAACAAAAGGAACAGGGCCTCCTGCATATTCTGACTGATTTCAATATACTTCCTCATAACCTTATTCCATCATGCTATAAACTGTTCTTGGTTATATACTTGTGCAAACTGATTCTATAAATAAATATCTAGACAACTGATTCTGTAATATTTATTTTCTGCCCTTTATGTTAGTTCCAACAGAGCCTAATTGAAAGTGCCATATGTACCCTTTGAACTATTATTAGAAAACCATAGTAATTTAACTCAAAGATGATGTCCCTATCAGCAACATGGCATTTAGCATTTCCCTAGGTCTAATCCTATCAGTAGCTATTGGCAAAACTGGCCATGGTTGGCCTACTGCCTTAATTAAGCCTGAGTAATAACTTGGATAGGTCATTGTTAGCTGTACCAACACTTCTACTTTGAACATTAAGTGGGCAGTGCTATTTATCTATTTGTTTATTAAAATTTTCTGTCATATCAACACCTACAGTTATTAGCAGTGTATTAAAATAAAGCGATAGGGTTGGGCTTGGGGGCGAAGGCCCCCGGGTAAGATTTTTTTTTCTTTAATTCACAAGGCAATGTTTGTGAATTTTCAGAATGGTCAAAGGTCAAAACAAACAAGGGAACCAGACATCAAATGTCACACAGCATTAAAGTATTGTGGTGGAAAGGGTAAAAGTGAATTAATGACTAGGATAATTGGACAGAAAGGATGAAGAAGTGAAGGAAAAGGAAAGAAGAAAATACCATGCAAAATTAGTTGACACACAGGCTGAGGCCCACGGCAGGGGTGATCCCCTACATTGGGCCAGTCTCCACCTCCTAAGACCCCCATATGGCAGCAAGCAAGGATTGGGAGTGTGGGCAGTGCTACCATAAGCTCACCAGACACTTCTGAATGTTTAGTAGCTACTTGTTTTATTTTTTCATCTATATAGTGATAGGGTGGGGCCCGGGGGCAAAGCTCCAAGGTAAGAAAGTTTTTTGGTTTAGTAAGGCAATGTTTGTGGATTTCCAGAATGGTCAATGGTCAAAACAAACAAATGTATCAGACATCAAAGGTCACACAGCATTATGGCAACGTACTGTGGTGAAAAGGGTAAATATGAGTTAACAATTTGAATAAGTGGACAGAAGAAGGGGATGAGCATGAGATAGAAAAGGAGAGGGAGAAGAAAAGCCCATGCAAAATTAGTTGAGGTGAGGGCCGAGGTCCAAGGTAGGGGTGATCCCTAAATTAGGCTTCAGTCTCCTCCTCCTAAGCTCCATATAACAACAATGAGCAAGGGATTAGGGGGTTTGACCCTAAGTTCCTGTTTTAAGCTCACAACAGTGTAACTTTATGGGTAGGCAAGATATTCATTCTCATGGGTGCCAGTCTGAAGTTCAGCCAAGGGCATCACTCAAGTTTTGTAAACAATTGGACTGAAATATTAGGTCTGGTATACCTTTTTTTTTTTTTTAAAGCATACCTAATGCTTCTTATATATCATATTTTTACTAGTTGGTGTAAAATCAAGGTTGTCTAAATGCACAGCCGAGTAGCCATTTCATTGTTTATAATAGAAACAATTTCAATTTGTGAGTTACTATCATTCTGTCTAGATCAATAGAGGCCACTTTGATGTTAGATGTCCTGTAACAATGGGTTAAGACATGATGGAATAGCTCATAAAAAAGGGGGGGGGGAGTAGGAAGAGGAAGAGGGAGGAGGAGAGAGGAAGAAGAAGCAGCAGAAGAAGCAGCAGAAGAAGAAGCAGCAGAAGCAGCAGAAGCAGCAGCAGAAGAAGCAGCAGAAGAAGCAGCAGCAGAAGAAGAAGCAGAAGAAGAAGCAGAAGAAGCAGACACAGAAGCAGAAGAAGAAGCAGAAGAAGCAGCAGCAGAAGAAGCAGCAGAAGAAGCAGCAGAAGAAGCAGCAGAAGAAGAAGCAGAAGAAGAAGCAGACGCAGAAGCAGAAGAAGAAGCAGAAGAAGAAGCAGCAGAAGAAGAAGAAAAAGAAGAAGCAGCAGCAGAAGAAGAAAAAGAAGAAGCAGAAGAAGAAGAAAAAGAAGAAGAAGAAGCAGAAGAAGAAGAAGAAGAAGAAGAAGAAGAAGAAGAAGAAGAAATGAAAATAATCCATACTATGTATTGCTTGAGATACAGAATTATGTATATATATAAAGAATAACCAACTGTCTATGAAAGAAAACAGTTAACATAATCTATGAGAATCAATATATCTAATTAAACTTATTATCAAAATATCTTTACCAATATTTATAAAGTATGTATTCCTGACAATTGCATCAATATAACACAGCATTTAGTTGTTGTGTTTTGTGAGGTAATTATGAGTTTTCATTAAAGCAAGTCTTGTTATAACATATTCCACATTATTCATTCAGCAGCAGGAAATTATGTACATTGAGAACACTTCGCATATCCCCATATGTTAATAAAAGGGTTTATGTAAAAACAAAAATTTATTTACAAAGCTTACAAGACAAATCTACTTATCACATTTTTATTTGTTTATAAAATTAGTCACAATCTTTGGCTGAGCCTGGCAGACAGTGAAATGCAGTGATTCCTCCTTCATTCTAGCCTGCACAAAGAATCTAAAAGCTAAATATACAAAAAACATGACTTCGAATACAGTTTAACCATCCACTATTTACTTCAATGGACAATTAATCATGGCAAAATAATAAAAAAAAAGATTAATTACATTAATAATAACAATGATTATAATAACAGTGATTTATATTAAAAAATAAAAGAATAAATAATAATAATAAATAATAATAATAAACAATAATAATAAAACATTCCATTTCATTCATCTAGATACTATTTCTTCTTCATATGTTCAGTCCAAGATTGATAATCACATTTTGCATCCTAAACTGTTACAAGCTTGAGTTTGTTAGAGCTCAAGCACTAGAAGTGCCATGTATTAGTCACCCGCTTATGTAATTTGAAATTAATACCATTACTATAGGGAATTTTAAAATTGCTTCCTTATATAAAATGCAGTTATGCAGACCACCAAAGACCTGCACTGAACCATAGTGACTTCTAAATTAGGAAGCACATAATGAGCGTTACTGGGACCTTATTCTAGCTTAACAATACTACATGAGCCTGTGTTAAATATCCTGTCAAAAAATCAAATGCATCAGTCAACATAAGCATGGAATGTATTAGTTACATTGGAAACACCAGAGATTTTTTAGGAAAAAAATAAATAAATAAATAAAAAATTAAATAAATAAAAAAATAATAATAATAAAATAAAATAAAATAAATAAATAAATACATATGATGAGGAGGATAATTTTCTACCACTTTATGTATACCTTTAACCAATTTCTTACACAAGTTATATGCATAATAAGTCATAAATAATAAGTGACTCATCACAACAAATTGTAGTATAAATAACTATTCTGATTACCATAATCATAAATAATTATCTGCTCTAGTTTTTCCTCACAGTAAATCAGTGCTAGCAATAAAGCTTATGAATTCCAATATATGACTATAATACCACCAATCACTGACTCCCATAGTGGGAGGGGGAAAAGAAATGACAGAGAACATGACAGACATTATGGGGCACAATGAGATATGATAAATATATCCTATTCCCTGATCCTGTTTCAATCTCTTTTTCACTCAACTTCTGCACATTCTCAAAAAAAAAAAGTTTAATAATACAGACGGATAAAGTCTGTTTACTAAACAAAAGACAGTCAATCAATTATTAAAACAAAACCTCTATTTAATACAATACTCTACTCTGAAACTGCTATCTCACAGAAAATTCAATGTCAACTGTATCTTAATTTTCAATAATTGTTTTATATTCTGTAAGTTTTCAATTTCAATTTCTTGACAAATGTCTATCATATATGGCATGTGAATGGAATAATGTTTGTGCTTTGATTCATAAAACACAGACAAGAAACTGATGAATAAATATAGAGCAGGTAACAAAGAAATCATACGAGAATCTTTTCATATTAAGCTATTCCATTAAAATTTCCTGATAGTCTTTAAATTGGAAAGAGAGAAGAGGGGGGCTTTCCATACAAGCAAAATATGAAAACTGATAGTTACAAAATAAGTAAATACTCACATCTTAAAGGGGGGGGGGGGGGGGATTATGTGCAATTTGAAGATTGACCAATACTCCCACAATTTGTCATCAACTCTCAGTATGAATTCCAAGCTGAAACCTTATAATGTATCATGATATGACGTATTTACAAGAGGTTATTTGCTCACATGATTTACAACCTATCATGTAAAGGACAGTTTTCCTCATCATCCAAGTTATGACAAACAAAAAAAGCATTTAAAAAATTTCTCACGCAGTTCATTGTAGTCTCACAATAGTTTCATTATCCATAATAACCTACATACATATATATACATATATATATACATACATATGTATATACATATGTATATAGGAACATAATTTATCACAGTTTTAACAAGCTGCAGGTGGTGTTGATAAGCCAAACAGTAGATCAGCACGCGAGTTCATGAAATGAACAACAATCACTGAGAGTACTAAAGATACCACACCTCCACACACCACAGCAACTTCCTCTAAGACAGAGGGCCGCAGGAAAATCATGACCTTAGTCAACTTCCATCCACTCTCAGTCCAGGTTGAATACTCGCCGGATTTCCAGTCATAGTCATCTATGAGGAAGGCAGGACTCATGGCATCAGTCATCCTCACAGTGGACTGCACACATGTTCCATTGCCTATGCGGGGATAGTAGTAAAATTGACTCATGTTGTAAATGCTTTCAATCTTGCAATCCTGTTGATCTCGCTTTACCTCATCTCCCAGAAGCCAAGCCATCAAGTACATTGTGACATAAGACCTCTCCCTTTCCCCATTCTCCACACTCACATACAGCTTGGCAGGTTTGGGTTCCATGTACTTTGCCATATCTCCTCCATTTTCCTGGACAAGGTTACAGGTCATGTTTTTCATGTAGCAATATAAGAGCTCGTTTGTAAGTTCTGGATCAGCTTCGATCTTCTTAGTGGTATTAGTAGCCAATCTGTAGATAGCTGTGGCCAATAAACTGGCAACATTTGTGATGTGCTTATGGTAAAGATCTGTGTCACTGTA